GTATTCGGAGATCTGGGGTAACAGGTAGGTGGGGATCTTCAGGCAACTTGGGTCAAGCTCAGGGATGCTGAGCAGCTTGAGAGTTGGGAGAGGGGCTTAGCTCTGGGTACGCGGATCTTCCGGCTGGAGATGAGGCAGCAGTGAGCTAAGGTAATCAACAGAGCTGGCAGCCAGCTACACCTATGAAGGGAAATTCTTATCACAGGATGCCGGGTCAGCACACAGGCTAACTGCTGAGACTGAGAATTGGGGATCTAGGTCCAAATCTAGGCTGCGCCCCCTTGCCCTGCAGGGCCTCCGGCAAGCTGCGTCTCTGACCTCGGTCCCTCACCTCTGAAAGGGGGTGGCATGTGAGACCAGCACGTTAATACGGCTGCCATGAGTACTGAGATAACACGTTTACGTGTTAAGTCCAGGATGGCCTGGCTCGCGCTTTCCAATACACGGCAGCTGCCATTGCCATGCATGTCGGGGCTTCAGTCTTCACCGCAGGGGCGTTCTGGCTAGAAAGAGCTCATCAGCTTAGGCTGTCACGGCCAGCGGAGAGGGGCCCCGCAATCCCTCCCACCCAGGGCAGACCCTGACTAGGCCCGGAGGACGCCTCACTGGGCCACACCTTCCTCCCAGTGCAGAGTCGTGACATCAGTAACCCTGGTTGACAACGGAGCCTAGGGTTCTGATGTCACTTTTCTGCCCGAGCGGTGCGCTCCGCGCAGGCCGACAGGCAGGCTGGCCCCCGGCCCAGTGCATAGGCTCCGCACCTCTGGCCCCTCGGGGGCTGCCGCAGGGCCTGGCACGCGCGCCCCCGGGGCCCCGCCACCCGCCCCTTTCATCTCCGCCTCCCGGCTGTCCGGCCTCTACGTCCCGCGCACCTGGGGGCGGGCGGGGACAGCAAAAAACCATCGCAGGAAGCGCGCTCGACCTCGTCTGGCACCAGCGCCCCTCCCGGGCGGAAGCCGCGGCGCCTCGGACTCGCCGGGCCCCCACCCCCGCTCTTCCGTCCCGCCCCGGAAGCCGGAACGAGGACGCGACGCGCGGCGCGGACGCAGCGCCGTAGCCAAAAGGGCGGGGCCTGAGGCGGCCGGGGGGGCGGGGCCTCGGCGCGGCCCGCTCCGGAAGCCCAAGCGAGAGTGCGACGGGCCGTGCGGACGTAGCGCCGCAGCTGAGGAGGCGGGGCAAAGTCTGGGGGCCGGGTCTCTACATCAGGGGGCGGGGCCTCTGGGTGGCCGTCTCAGGTCCTAGGACTAGGGCTGTGCGGACGTTGCGTCGCCGTCGAGTGGGCGGGGCCTAGGCGGGGCCTCTGTTTGGCCCTCTCAGGAAGCTCAGGGGAAGACTCGGAGGGCGGTGGCTGTGGGGCGGGGCCTGGCTGGGCAGGGGCGGGGCCTGGACCTGGGCGGGGCCTGCGTGGCGGGCGGTGGGGCCGATTCCGAGCTTTCGCGCAAATTAGGTCTCCGCTTTAAAATTAAACAACTTTTGCTGTTTTTTCTCCCCTCCCTAAACCAGATAAAACAACCAGACAGTGGAAAATTTGTAAAACCTAGGCGAGTACAAAGTAAGAAAAGGAGAAACCTTTCCGAGTCATCAAGCAAAATACTGGTCTGGAGTATCTTTTTATCTAACTATATGGATTTTTACGTAATCAGGATAACCTTGTATACACGCTTGTGGCTACCTTTAAAAATAACATTTTTTTTTTTCTAATTGCAAGACCACACGTTTACTGCATGGAGTTTGGAAAACTGGAAAAAATTACAAAGAAAAAAAGTAGCCTGAGATTCCCTCGCACGAGATCACCATTGTTAACAGTTGACGTTCTTTCTTTCCTTTTACACAATTATGCATTTGTTCAGACAAATAATGGATCATGCTGTAAATACTACTTTACAACTTTGTCTTTTTAACCATGGCTATATTCTAAATGTCACACATCATTTGCTGTTCATCCACAGTGTTTGTGATCATACACAGTGGGGCTGTATTTTATTTAACCCATATGAGATTATTGGATATTGATGTTGTTTCCAATTCCATCTCTTCCTTCTTTCTTTTATGATAAGCATTCTTTCAGCTAAATCTTTATGCATGTCCAGTTCCTAGATGTGGAAATGCTGAGTCAAAGCATATAAACACGAATGCTTCTTGTATGTCCCTTTTTATCTTTATGTTTTCCAAATTTAAAAAGTAATCAATCAGTATTTTAACAATTGGTTTAAACTCGAGTACTCTATATACAAAAAAGATCTCTCATTTGCAGAATATATAAAGAACTCCTGGCTGGGCGTGGTGGTTCACCCCTGTAGTTCCAACACTTTTAGGAAGCCAAGGCAGGGGAATTGATTGAGCTCGAGAGCTCAAGACCAAGGAAGAGGCAGGTGGATCACCTGAAGTTAGGAGTTCGAGACCAGCCTGGCCAACACGGTGAAACAAAAATTAGCCGGGCATGGTGGCGGTCACCTGTAATCCCAACTACTTGGGAGGCTATGGCAGGAGAATGGCTTAAACCCGGGAGGCAGAGGTTGCAGTGAGGCGAGATTGAGCCATTGCACTCCAGCCTGGAAAACAAGAGCAAAACTCTGTCTCAAAAAAAAAAAAAAAATCCCGGGTACAGTGGCTCATGCCTGTACTCGCAGCGCTTTGGGAGGCCAAGGTAGACGGACCACGATGTCATTCTGGCCAACATGGTGAAATCCCGATTCCACTAAAAATACAAAAATGTTTAGTTTTTTCAGTAGAGACGGGATTTTACTATGTTGAAATGGGATTTCAACATCCTGGTCAACATGGCGAAATCCTGTCTCTGCTAAAAATACAAAAATTAGCTGGGCGTGGTTGCGCATGCCTGTAATCCCAGCTACTCAGGAGTTTGAGGCAAGTCCCAGCTACTCGGGAAGCTGAGGCAGGGGAATGGCTTGAACCAGGGAGTCAGAGGTTGCGGTGAGCCGAGACCCTGCCACTGCACTCCAGCCTGTCCACAGAGTGAGAATCCATCTCAAAACAAACAAGCAAAAACAAGCTGGAGACCAGCCTGGGCAGCAGAGTGAGAATTCGTCTTTATAAAAAATGTAAAAACTAGCCTTCTTGGTGGGAATGTTAGCATTGCTAGTGGGAATGTAAAATGGTGCAGCTGCTATGGAAAACCGTATGAGGGTTCCTCAGAAATGCAAACACAGAGCTACTACAGGACCCAGCATTTCCACTCCTAACTATAGACCCCCCAGAATTGACGACAGGAACGCTAACAACTATTTGCACACTTTTGCTACAAAAAGCAGCAGAGTTATGCATGATGGACAGAAGGTGGAAACAGCCCCAATGTCCATGGGTAGATGGATGGGAAGGAAAAGGCAGCTTATATAGATGTGCAATGGAGTACTATTCAGCTTTCAAAAGGAATGAAGTTCTGACACATGCTATGACGGGAATGAACCTTGGAAACATGGTGCTGAGTGAAGTCAGCCAGACACAAAAAGGCACACAGTGTACGCGTCCACCTGTCCGAAGTCCCTCGAGTAGTGAAATTCATCGAGTTAGAAAGTAAACCAGTGCTTACAGGGCACTGGGGAGAGCTGAGACTGAGTTGTTATTACTATTATTATTACATATTTTTTTGAAACAGAGTTTCACTCTGCCGCCGAGGCTGGAGTGCAGTGGTGTGATCTTGGCTTACCGCAACCTCTGCCTCCCAGGTTCAAGGGATTCTCCTGCCTCAGCCTCCTGAGTACCTAGGACTACAAGTGTGCACCACCACGCCCAGCTAATTTTTTATATTTTTAGCAGAGACAGGGTCTTACCGTGTTGGCCAGGATGATCTCAATCTCCTGACCTCGTGATCCGCCCACCTCAGCCTCCCAAAGTGCTGGGATTACAGGTGTGAGCCACCATGCCTGGCCCCGGGTTATTATGTAATAGGTATGGAATTTCAGTTTGGAATGATGAAGGTGTGGAGACGGACCAGGGTGATGGTTGCCCAGCAATGTGAATGTACTTAATGCGCTGAAAAGACAAATTTTGTTATGTATATTTCATGACATACACACAAAGACATTTCTGGGGGGGAAAAGGAAAGATATTTCCGAGATTCTGGTCCCAAGCATCTTGCATGGAACAAGGCCTGCACACATAACCAGCTCCTCCTGGATGACCCTACCCAGGTGGTTGGGGATGGCCCTTCTGGGGAGCCCAGCTCTGGACAAACAGGGCTCAAGCCAGGCCTCACACATCTGGCATTTTCCATCATAATTTCCAAGCTGGGAGAGAGAAACTTGCTTTGTGGAAGCACTGAGTCACTGTGAATCTTTAACTTGCGGTTTTAGTTCTGTGCCATTGAGACACACACACACAACTGACTCCCTTTGCAAACATGAGTGATACATATTCATCGTCAGCAAATTTGCAAACATGGGAAAGCACCCCTGAGAACACAACAGATAGAACCCCAACTCAGAGAAACACAGCTGACATCGAGGTGTATCTTCGTTCAGCCTTTCTTGTCTGTTCCTAACACATACTTAAAATCATTGTGGTCGTACGTCACGTTTTACGCTCTGCACTTTCACTAACATGCAGCAAACAACTCACCTCCTCGTCAATGTTTCTAGGTCACACTTTAATGACTGCAGAAGAATCCATTGTTCGGATGTCCCATATGTAACTTCTTTACCTCACTCTTGATGGTTGGCTGTTGAGGTGATTTACAAACCTGCTGCTATGAACGTCTTCGTGGTGTATCTCGGATAATTCCCGGGGGTACTCCCAGGGGACCAATTGTAACATCACCGAGGATTCGCTTTTTAAAGGCCTTTGAATATAGTATCACCAATCAGCACTTCAGGAAGAGCGGACAGGTTGTTTTTGCCCCAACATCGCGGGAGTGTGTGGGCGTGTGTTTTACACAGAGGTGTCTTATCCTACCTCGTGGGGGACCTGCTATAGCAGGACCACTGTCAGGGGACAGGCCCTGGCTCCGGGGCTTTGGTCCACGGTGGGTCGCTGCCTTTTTGTCTTTGCTGAGCCATCACTCCCAAAGAGAGTGGGCAGGGAGGTCTGGGCTCTGAGCTCTGCGGGGGCAGTGACCCTGGACGCAGGCTTCTGACTCTGGGGAAGGCTCCACTCTGTGACCCTGGAAGCCATGGAATACTTTTTTTTTTTTTTTGAAGTGATTTTACCTTTATTTCCTTCACTTTAAGCCAATCATGAAATTTCACAGTGATTTCTGGGGTGGGGGCAGAAGGAAGGCGGTGTCAAGAATCACTGGGGCTGTGGCCCAGTCGGCCCGTGGAGGTGCAGGTAGGGTGGGCCCTCACTGGGGCAGCTGGAGGAGCACGGACTGCCCCGCTGGCAGGCAGGTGATGTTCCCAGAGCGTGACAGTTGGTACGCAATGTCCTCCGCGGCTTCCAACTTGCGCAGCTCGATCAGGCCGTCCCCTGCGGTGGCCAGTGAGTTGGCAATCAGCTCAGCTGTCTTGGAGTCGCCCTCAGCAGAAATGATAGCCGCCTTTTTCTGCTGCTCAGCCTTTTCCACCACAAATCTGGCCCTCTCTGCTTCCTGCTGAGCCACCTGTTTGGCTTCCACTGCTTCTGTGAACTCCTTCCCGAAGGTCAGATGTGTCAAGGACACATCGTCCAGGATGAGCCCAAAGGTGGCTGCTCGCTCTGTAAGGTCGTCGCTCACCTGCCTGGAGACCAGCTCTCTCTGGGTGATTAGTTCTCCAGCATCAAAGCGAGCCACCACTGACTTGAGGATCTCGGTCGTGATGGACGGCAGCACGCGCTCATCATAGTCCTCTCCGATGCTGGTGAAGATGCGAGGCAGCTGGCTAGCAACGGGCCGGAAGAGGATGCGCAGTGTGATGTTGACATTCTGTAAATCTTTGCTACCAGTGATGACTGGCACATTACGTGGCCGAGAACGACAGTCAAAGATAATTGGTTTATGTACCCATGGGATGAGAAAGTGAGTCCCTTCCCCTACCACAATGTCCTGTACTCCACGGAGTCGGTCAAAGATGACAGCTCTGTGCCCAGCATCCACGTTATATAAGGCCGAGTTCACCACGCCTCCTGCAACAGCTAAGGCCAGGCCAAACTTGCCAATGGACTCAAACACTTTGGCAGCCATGTTTTCTTCTGCTGGACCCTCTCACACCTGCTTCCACTCTGACCTCCACATGAATTCAACCACGGAATACTTTTAACTGCTTGTTTGCTGGTGCCGTCAGGACTGGGACGTTTTCTTAGGTGTGGGCGTGACGTGGCCTGCACATTTCCACCGGGTCTCCCGGCTCTGGCGTGGAGAGTGGCCCCGCAGTTACAGGCTCCACGGTCCTCCATGCGTCTTTGAGGGGACACAGGACCCCTGTCTGAAGCAGCCACTACCAGGGTCCCCCTGCAGCCTCCCACCGTCAGGCCCCTCTGTCATGGCAGCATGGGGGTGTCTTGCAGGATACTCCAGCGGCCACCCCACCCAGCCCAGTCACACAGGGCCTCAGCCCCAAACCAAGGCTGACCTGGGGCACCCCTTCTGCGTCTGTCCATCGTGAGCATGAGCCAGGGCCCTAAGGCCACTAGATGTACAAGTCCTGGCTGTCCTTCCTAAACCCCCCCTGTAATTCAGCCTGCGCTCCTCCACTCTCCACGGCCACACTTTCCCTCACCTGAATACTGGCCTCCCTGACTGCAGCCTCCCCCCAGCCGCTGCCAGAGTAGTTTCTCAAATCCACAGCCCCTGTCCCCACCTTAAAAACAAAACAAAACTCTTTTGTTTTAAGAACCAAAGCAGGGTTGGCCCCTGCTTCTCTCTCTAGCCTCGCCACCTCCCCACGATCACTGATCACGACTCCCTGCCCCACGCCGCACTTGGCTGGGAGAGAACTCCTTGCCTTTTCTCAAATGCTGTTCCGTCTGAATGGGATGCGCTTCCCACCCTCATGGTGATAAGAGCTTCTCCTCTCTTATTCCTACTGGGAATAACAGCAGCAGCTGACACTAATGAGCACTTACCATGTACAAGTCTCCACTCAGCTACCACCTCCTCCGGGAAGCTTTCCGGGATGGATCCCTTAGCTATGACAAGCCACTCCTGGGGAATAGGCTCTTCTCGCCTATGGTTACAAGACAGCAAGGACTGTGTCTTGGGTGTCCTCAGTGCCTAGCCCAGGGCCTGATGTGAGTGCTGAGTCACATCATGTTTGGAGGAGCAAGTCCTGGACAACACAGCCCGGTTAAAGCGAGCAGCCAAGCACTGATACATGGACCAGCGCTGGCTGGAGGTTGATCCATACCATCCCCTTTCAAACGTGATCATTCGGAAACAGGATGGCTTGAAATTTGTTCTTGACAAAGAAGGATTAAGGGGCAAAGGAAAGCTGGAAACAAGATCACACATACACGTCACCTAACAGAGCAGGTGTAACTCCTGTAACCTGCCTCTAATCAGCTTCAGGCCTCTCTTCAATGCTGAGTCCTCAGTCGTCACCCTGGGCCTCCCAGCTCTGATGCTGAGCCCAGGATTTCAGTGCTAATTATGGATGGTACCCATCGCCTGATCAGCAGAATATCCACAGTGCAGCCTGCCCTGGGAAGGGAGGATGAGTCTCCTTCTAGGACACTCCACAAGGCTCAGTGCAGATGCTCCACTTGGGCTGGTCATGCATCACGGATTCCCTCCTCTGAGGGTGGCCCCAGGCTTGTGCGCACACACATATTCATTCCTGGCCTCACATGTGGGGACAGACAGAAGGCATCTGTGCCTTGTCCCCTCTTATCTATTCTCATAAACGTCCTTGTGTCTTGGAGTCAGGATTGCTTGGGCCCAGAAGGTCGAGGCTGCAGTGAGCCTCCAGGCTGCCCCAGGGGTCTCCCCATGGTGGACGCTCATCACTCTGGCCAGCCCCATGCTCATCTGGGTTGACCTCTGAGAACTGCCAGGTTAGAGGGCCCCAGAGCAGCCAGGGGACCAGGAAGGAGACCACCTGGTCTAGGGGGGTTCAGGCAACCTGTGGTCTGGACAGGAAGGGATGCTGAGGCTCCTCTACCCATATGGAGGCCCAGCCCTGACCAACTGTTAGGCCGGATACCACTGCTAGCTGTTTTCCAACCATCAAATATGAGGACCACATGGCAGGTTTTCCATAAAGCTCTGTTTATCCAGCACAAAGGAATGGCCTTTGTCCTGAGATTGTCTTCCTACTTTTTTTTTTTTTTTTGGTTTAAAGATATTCTTTCAAAAAGGGAAATTATAATTATTTTTCTAAAGGCTCTAACATGAAAAAATAGAAAGTTGGCAATCTTCAGTAGGTCTGCAATACTCCTTTGAAATTTGACCAGCCTATGAATTCCGGATGTCTGAGAACCCCTGTGTGCATGCTCCCTGCTAAGGCCACCAGGGAGAGTCACCGGGTCACTGCTCCCTGTTTAGAACCTGCAGTGGCTCCCTATTGCCCTAGGATCTGCAGCCAAATTCCTTATCATGGCATCAAAAACCTAGGCAGGTGGGAAAAGGGAGGAGGAAAGGATCAGGGGCAGCTTCCTGGAGGAGGTGGAATCTGAAACAAGCCTTGCAGTATGAGCTTCCTGGCAAGGGGTGAACGGAGAAGGGAGGGGCAGGCTGAGAGGGCATTCCACGGGCAGGAGAACACCTCATGCAGGACAAAGCTGAGGTGGCTGGAAAACAGCTGGGGTGGTATCTGGCCAGCCAAGCAGGCACTGGGTTAGGGATGCAGAGGAAACTGAAGCCAGCAACACAGTGCTAGGGAGGGTAACATCCAGGGTTCTAAGTGAGTCTTTTTTTTTGAGACAGGGTCTTGTTCAGGCTGAGTGCAGGGGCTGCATCATGGCTCACTGCAGCCTCGACCTCCTGGGCCCAAGCAATCCTCCCTCCTCAGCCTCCCAAGTAGCTGGGACTACAGCCATGCACTACCACGCCCGGCTAATTTTGTATTTTTAGTAGAGACAGGGTTTCACCATGTTGGCCAGGCTGGTCTCAAACTCCTGACCTCAGGTGATCTGCCCACCTCAGCCCCCCAAAGTGCTGGGATGACAGGCGTGAGCCCCCGCGCCCGGCCTTATTACTGTTATTATTTTTGTAGAGACAAGGTCTCACACTAACGTTGCCCAGGCTGGTCTGGAAGTTCTGAGCTCAAGTGATCTGCCTGCCTCAGCCTCCCAAAGTGCTGGGATTACGGGCGTGATGTGCTGCATTTGGCCCTAAGAGATTCTTGGAGAAGTGAGGTAAATGTAATTAGGTCTACTTCATATTTAAGGTTTGGAGGGAAAGGGAGACCCACCAGGGAGAGTTGCCAGATCACCACTCCCTGTTTAGAACTTGTATTGCACACTGAGAGAGGACCGGGGAAAGGCCTAGAACCCCCAGGCTGGATTTTCTGCTGTCTGAGGGTCTGTCCGAGGCTGGCTGCCCTCCTCTGGTGCCCCATTTCACAGCCTCACCTGGTCCCTCCTTTTTGGGCCTGAGACTGGCTGGGGCTGCCCGTCTATGGGGCCTGGCTCCTTGTGCTCTGAGTGGAATGTGCCCCGGAGTATGATGCCCCCAACACCAGGGGCTGTCTCTGGTATCAGGTGGGGCTGCTGACTTCACACGTGCCAGGAGAACAGATGCTACAGGAAGTTACGGGTCCTTGGCAGCCTCATGCCGAGAGGCCCCACGTCTGCAGCCCCAGCCTCTAGACCTGCTGATGGGCATGTTGGCCAGGCTCTGTGCACCTGTGCACAGCTTTCTGCAGAAAGGCAACTTCCTCGCTTCCCCAGATGCTTGGGTGGGGGAATGTTCCTGTTGGACAATGGAGCCCAGACACCCAGTGGGGATCTCCCAGGAGAAGCCTGCTCCCACCTCCCAAGAAAGGCTCTGAGCCTCTTTCCAAGTACTGGAAATGCCAAATGCGGTGTGGCCTGTGGCCATCCGCCACAAGCAGAGTAACCTGCACTGGTGGGCATTCACCTATCCAACTGTGAGGTCATTTAATGTGTCCTGGGTACTGCTGTGCTGTGGGAATTCAGGAGTCCCTGCCCAGCAGAAGCTCCCTGTCTAGTGGGCGATGATAAGATTGCCTGAGCAGGGCCTCGCTGTGGGAAGGATGATAAGCGCAGCACTCTCGGAGGGCCAATCCGGCCAATCCCAACTTGGAACACTCAGCTCCTTATTCCTCAAGGCATCTCTGGGGACAGACTTAGCGCTTGGGGTTGACTGTTCCCAGGCCAGCAGGCTGGACAATGGCAGAGCAGGCGGGATCTGGGGGAGTGCCGTCTTTACCACTACCCTCCCAGCGCCTGCTGAGACACCCCAGCTCAGGAAGTGCCTCTAGAGATCACGGAAGGCAACCTGCCTCGTTGTTCAGGGGAAACTGAGGCTGGGAGAAGATGCCCCAGGCCCCACTGACGTGTCAGAGCCCCAGCAGGGTGGTAGGCTCCAGGCTCCCCAGCCAGCCATTCCTGCAAGGTGCACCCACCTTTCTGGCAGGGCAGAGGGCACTCCCTGCAGCTGGAGAGGGATTCTCCTGGCAGGAGGGGTGGAGGTGGGGTGAGGTGGAGGCACCTGGCAGCTAGGGTCGTGGGGGGGCCCTGGCAGAGTAAGTGGGGTCTCCTGGCATCAGGGGAAGCTGGGGGAAGGGGCCTGGCAGAGGGGGCTCCCGGCAGGGAAGGTGAGGGGCTCCCAGGCCCGGCCGGGCCACCCGCCCAGACGCGCTGCCAGGCTGATTAGCATGGGCGAGGGGCGCTGGCGCGGGGGCGCCGCCGGCCGAGCTGGCACGTCCCTCGCGGGCCCAGCTGGCCGGGCCGAGACACAAAGCGCCTCAGACGGTGGCGGCGCTCGGCCATTCACGCGCAGGGGCGGCCCGGGCGCGGGCGGCGAGGAATTCCCGCCGCCGGGGCGAAGAATAGCGCCTGGGCCAGGCGGGGCTGGGCCGCCCGGTGCTCCTGACCTTGAACCTTTGTGACTGGAGCGCATGCAAATCGCGGCGGGGCCGCGCCAAGCCCCGAGGGCGCAGCACCACCCGGCGTGTCCAGGGAACAATGCGCCACTGTCCCCGCGCGGCGCCGCGGGCTGGGAACGGCGCGGAACGCCAATGCGGCCCCCGGCGCGGCGGGGCGCGGCCCACGGGAACGTGCGTGTGCGCATGTGTCCACGTGTTGGCCTGGGCTGAGCTCGACCCCAGGCCTAGCCCCGGACCCCGCGGCCCTGGCGACCCTCCTGGAGGGTGTCCCTTTGTGACCAGGTCCAAAAGATCTTAGACTCTTGTAGGTGACTGCCTCTCCCTCCTTCCTGCCCTTCTTATTTTTCTTTTATTAGATTGATTTTTTAAAATCCTGTAAATGATCAGTAAGGAAATAAAGGCTGCCACCAATAACCGTCCCACCCAGGGAGAGCTCTGCTACCTGGAGACGGGCTCCCTCGCCTCCTCTCTCTCCATGGGGCAAATTCTTCCTCACAGCTCAGGATGAACTTTTAATTCAGCATCTTGACTTTTTCCTGGAAAATAACATTTATCATCCACTGCTTACCAATGTCCCTTTTAAAAGCTGGATGGTCGGCTCACGCCTGTAATCCTGGCATTTTAGGAAGCAGAGGCGGACAGATCATAAGGTCAGAAGTTCGAGACCAGCCTGGCCAACATGGTGAAACCCTGTCTCTACTAAAAATACAAAAATTAGCTGGGCATGGTGGCACGCACCTGTAATCCCAGCAACTCAGGAGGCTGAGGCAGGAGAATCACTTGAACCAGGGATGCGGACGTTGCAGCGAGCCAAGATCACGCCACTGCACTCCAGCCTGGGTGACAGAGTGATACTCCGCCTCAAAATAAATAAACAAATAAATAAAAGCTGCATGGTACTGTTCTCCTGAGCTGTGCCACAGTCCCTGCCGCTGCGTGTCTCGGTCACAGGGACAACGGCTTGTCAACAAGGTCTTCCGGGGCCCGTCAGTGGATGTGCAAAAGGAAAGGGACATCACCAAGAGCTGCCAAACTACGACGTGCTAAACTAGCCCAGAAAGGTGCCAGGCCCACATGTGGATCCTGCGGCATCCATCCCCACCTGCTTAAACATAGTCTGAACGGACAAGACAGAAAAAGCACACATGCCAGGCAGGCAGGCGATTCCAGCACCTTCTGTGAATTTGGATTGGGCACATTTGCGACAGGAGACGGCCACAACCCAGAATCTGAGGTCCCAGCCTTGCAGCCAACTGGAGGCTCATCACTTGTCCTCCGGAGACTCGGTATCCTCACGGGATTAGGGGTCTGTGAGCACTGCCTGCCCATCTTGCGGAGGCAGTGAGGGTTCCTGCGCATGCGCACACCTGTGTGGGTGGAGAGCATGCACTCAGGTTCATTTCTGCCAAGGTGCTGGGGAGCTCAGCTCTGCCATGGCAAGGGCTCAGGACAGGAGGAAGAGGTTTAGAGACAGTGACATTGGGCAAGATGTTCCCTGCCTGGGCCTTAGTTTCTCCAGAGTTAAAAGAGGATGTTGTAGAGACACTCTCTAAGCATCCTTCTAGCTCCCCCAGATATAAATGAATAAGATCACTCTTTCAAGGATGGGGATGAGGTACAGGGCTGGATCCTTCCCAGCCAGGGTGGCTGGCATTACTGGCTTTCGGCAGCTGACTCCCAGAGGCCTCCTTTGGGCTACACACTGGTACAGATCCCTGCCTCCCCAAAGGCATGAGACCCTGGTCTGCCATTTGGGGGCTCAGAGCCTGGCTAGAGGCAGGAGAGGTGAGGATGGAAGATAAAAACCCAGACGGTGAGTGTGGTGAGAAAGGAGGCATGAGGGCATGGTGTGTGGGAGAACAGAGGAGGCAGTGGAGGAGTCCAGGAAGGCTTCCTGGGAGACGGCTGCCTGAGTTGAGCCTCAAGAAGGATGAGTAGCTTCTCATCAGGAGAAGAGAGTGGAAAGCACTTCAGGCAAAGTTGCAGGCAGAGGGAGCATTCCAGGCAGAAGGAGCATTGCAGGGAGAGGGAGCACTGCAGAGAGAGGGAGCACTCAGGGAGAGGGAGTGCTCAGGGAGAGCGAACACTCCAAAGACAGGGACCAAAAGGGTGCAGGGAGCACTGCAGGAAGAGGGAGCACTACAGGGAGAGGGCGTGCTCAGGGAGAGGGAGCAGTGAAGGAAGAGGGAGCATTGCAGGGAAAGGGAACACTCAGGGAGAGGGAGCACTCTAACGAGAGGGACCACTGCAGGGAGAGGGAGTGCTGCAGGGAGAGGGTTCAGGGTGCACTCAGAGAGAGGGTGTACTCAGAGAGAGGGAACACTAAGAGAGAGGGAGCACTCAGAGAGAGGGAGCACTCAGAGAGAGAGAGCATCCCAGGGTAGGGAGCACTCAGGGAGAAGGAACATTCTGAAAGAGGAAGGACACTCAGAATTCACTTTAAAGAAATCTCTTCCTTGGGCAAATTGTCCTATTCTTTTGCATTCATAGACATTCTGCCTCACGGTGGCCAGCAGGACTAGAAACACCAACATTAAAATAAAACACAGAAGTCGGTCCAGCTAAAGGAAATGTCGGGGTGAGAAAATGAGACGGGGGAAGAGGGTGAGTTGAGTTTTTAAAAAAATGCCTGCCTTGAACTCCTGAGGAGTTGCAGGCTAGGAGTCCACTAATTTCTCAGTCCCAAGATTTGAGCGCCTTTAAGGAGCAGCTGGTTGCACAAGAGATGGGCAGTTTGATTCTGGCCCCAAAAGCCAGAGGCCTGTGAGCTGCATGGCATCAGGTCCTCGCCAAGGCCCCCTGATAACAGGGTAGGAAGCATACAGGGTGCAGCCATCAGGGGCCGGCTGAGTGGCAGCTGGGCCCTACGTAGCAGGGCTGCCGCTCTCAGCGTGGGCAAAACCAAGATGGGAGGGAAGCTTCAATGTGGCTGGACACACTGGACAGTGCACTCCAGGGTCCGGAGGACACCTGGGAAGGAGCTTGGCTCACACTTGGGAGTCAGGGAAGGCTTCCTAGAGGAAGTGATGGTGAAGGGTTGCTCTAATTCTGGCAGGGAAGTAGAATCACTATAAAATGGGAATAGCAACAGTGCCAGTCTCCCGGGGGGTGCGGAGAAAGCAGACCTGATGCACAGTCAGTCCACAGACCAGTGCACAGCGCCCAAGCCCTCATTTTACTGGACGTCTGACTGCTCCAGGGGCAAGGCTGGGACACCCTGAGGGTGACTGGGGAGGGAGATCCAGTTCTCAAGTCCTTTGTATTCCTGCTACTGAAGTATAACTTCTGAAACGAAATGTGTAAGTCATGACTGATGGATCCTCACTCCCAAAGACGTGTTTGGAAAACAAACAAAAGCTTTAAAGGCTGCAGCCCCAAGGCGACTGTCATGCCGTCAGCCTCACTCACACCTGGGCACTTTGGAGAGTCAGAGCTGGACAGGGCCATGGTTTCTGGTGAACAGAAGGGGAGACTGAGGCTCTGCAGTTCTTGTCTAAAGCCAGGATGGGCCAGGGTGTGACCCAGTCTCCCGCCTTCTCGGTCTTTCCACTACTTCACCGGATTCCTCGGAAATTAGCAATGGAAAAGCCATCCCACACTTGGGAAGGAGCGAGTCAGACTTTCCATCCCGGCTTCTTGCGAACACCTGGGACTCGGTGAGTCCCCCACACATCCCATGCAGAAGAGCGGGGCTGTGTCACCCGGGGGGCGGTTAATGAGGATGCTTTGGTGGTGCTGACATCAGGGGCAGAGCTCCTGCGTGGTTCGGCCGCCTGGGCTCCAGCTGGCAGCAGTGTGACCTGCCGCCTTTGGCTGCCACCACCCCAGGGCTGGGCATTGGGCAGAGGGGCTGGCTCAGTGGGCAGCTGGCAGGGCTGGTGGGGACTGGCCAGAGAGTATTGGCAAGGTCTTAGAGGTTTCTGGGCCCAGGACGAAAGGAAGGGAATGTGGACACTCGGCTCCTGTTTCACCGCATCCTCCCACCTTTGACCTCAGTGGTGCGAGGGGAAGGAACCAGGCCGGGAGCCACCTGCCTGGCTTGACCCTGGCTCGCTACTCAGCGTCCCGTGTCCCTGAACAAGCTGTGTCACCTCTCCAGCCTCAGTCTCCTCCTCTGTGAAATCGAATAACAACCATAGGGTACAATGTGAAAACTGCAGGGAATTAAGAATTAGGATGGTGCAGGGCACATAGTAAGTGCTTAGTAAAAGTGAGCATCCTAGACTCTGCCTGCCTCCACACCCTGGCTGTTTTGACCTGCCAGGCCTGAGGCCCAACTGCAAACTGCTCCATGTGGGTGGGCTGGGAGCTTCCTTTTTCCTTATTCCCTCCCTCCCTCTCTCCCGCCCTCCCTCCCTCCCTTCCTCCTTTCTCCTGCTTCTGCATCTCCTTTCTCTCTTCCTCTCTCTTTTCCTTCCTGCCTGCTTTCCATAAACTTGATGACTGTCTGCTTCTGTGCTGGTCTCTGTGCTACTTTCTACAGACAGAAAGTAAAATTAGCCAGATCTCGACGCCGTGACTCTGTGCTTAGAATCTAGTACAAAGCAGCAGGCAAGGGCCAGATGACTCAGAGCAGCACTGGCCAGCAGACCTGTCCATGAGGCTTGAAATGTTCTGGATCTGGACTTTGCAGTCAGGCAGCCACCAGACGCATGGGACTGTTGGACACTCGAAATGTGGCTAGTGTGACCCCAGAGCTCAATTTTAAATTTCATTTAATTTTAACTAATTTGCATTTATATGTGTTTATTTATTTATTTCTGAGATTGAGGTTTGCTCATGTCGCCCAGGCTGGCATGCAGTGGGGCTATCTTGGTTCACTGCAACCTTTGCCTCCCAGGCTCAAGTGATTCTCCTGCCTCAGCCTCCTGAGTAGCTGAGACTACAGGCATCCGCCACCACACCAGCTAATTTTTTGTATTTTTAGTAGAGACGGGGTTTCGCCATGTTGACCAGGCTGGTCTCAAACTCCCAACCTCAGGTGATCCGCCCGCCTTCGTCTCCCACAGTGCTGGGATTACAGGTGTGAGCCACTGCACCCGGCCTGTTTATTTATTTTTGAGACAGAGTCTCTGTCGCCCAGACTGGAGTGCAGTGGCGTGTTCTCGGCTCACCACAACCTCTGCCTCACAGGCTCAAGTGATTCTCCTGCCTCAGCCTCCCAAGTAGCTGGGATTACAGGTGCATGCCATTACCGCCCAGCTAATTTTTTGTATTTTTAGTAGAGATGGGGTTTCACCATGTTGCCCAGGCTGGTCTTGAACTCCTGACTTCAAATGATCCACCTGCCTCAGCCTCCCACAGTGCTGGGATTACAGGCATGAGCCACCACCCTGCGCCCGGCCTGCGTTTATATTTAAATAGTCACATATGGCTAGTGGCTACCCTATTAGATGGCACAGATCCAGAGTTACGGTCCCAACACACCACCCCGCATTATTTCTGCATAACACTTATTATACTTATTTACATTTGTGAGTTCATTTTTGTGCGCAGTCTTTCCACAAGGCACGTACCTTAGTCTGGTTTCCTTGGGGGCAAAGCTTGAGACAAAGGCTTACCGCAGACACTTCGGCTGGAAATGACATCTCAGGGACGCGATACGAGGGCGTCTCATCAAGTCAGTCACGGCTGCGGAGGCCCCATACCTGCTCCTGTGGAGGTTTCTGGGGGATCTCACGAAATGTATCTCAGAACTGTTCACTCACGAGCTGAAAAGATTTCTCCATCGGCTCAACTTGTCAGCAGTCAGGTCGGCTCTGTAGATGTTAACTTTCCAGCATTCCCAGGTTGCATGAGTGTGGCTGCACAGTGGGTCCTGCCAGGAACCCTGAGTCGCATGTTCAGAGAAGCGCCTGGACAGGAAGCAAGAGATCTCCAGCACAGGCCCAAGGCAAGGCACTGTGTGGCTGCTGGCACCCACTCGAAGCTGGACGAAGCCACTGAAGACCGTCTGTGGCCGGAATGGAGGAGCTGGGTTTGAGAAGACCTTAAAGTGGTGCATCAGAGGGGTCTGGTGCCTCCCTCACGCCTGCGTGTGCCCTTGATGACATCTAGTCTGCCACAGAGTTCTCTTCAAGGTGGCGGCCACAGCAAGCTCTGTAAGTTTGAAGATAAGATGATTAGTGGGAGGGGCTCCTCTCCATTACTGCGGCAGGTCTGAGGTCGTGATGGATCACCTTATCTCAATCCTCTGCCACCATTCCAGACGAGCACTTCCATGGGCCTAGGTTGTGTGGCTGTTGCGGGGTCCTCGTCTTTCTCTCTGGGGGGGTCTGAGCCCTCAGTTGCATTTGCCCTTGCTAGCTCTGGCTGCTGCCATTGCCAGGTCCCTGCTGTGACCATCGTGGAAGTGCCAAGGGGCACTGCAGTGAATTATCTGGCTCTGAGTGGGGCTTCTCTTGAGGTCAGGGCCAATGACTCTGCCAGGATGGTGACTCCTTTCTTTACCTGTTGGTCCACTGGCATGAAGAAGCCAAAATGACCAAGAGGTCATTGAAGGCTCAAGACCTGTAGTTTGTCACCTGGTGGCAGAATCTCCCTGTGGGAACCGGGACTTCAAACTTAACAAAGTCAAAGGACGAGGGACGGGTGAGAGAAGTCAGTCTCACCTCCTGGACCTAAGCCTTTCCCTTGGTTCCTGGACCTTTGGATTCTTAGTGTGGGGGACACAGTACCACAGGCCAGGGTTGATCTCCCACCCTTTGGCATTGAAGAGCACTTGCCACTTACTGTTCACCAGATTCTGTTTTTGGTTTTTTTTTTTTTTTGAGATGGAATCTCACTCTGTCACCAGGCTGGAGTGCAGTGGTACGATCTTGGCTCACTGCAACCTCCGCCTCCTGGGTTCAAGTGATTCGCCTGCCTCAGCTCCCAAGTAGCTGGGACTATAGGTGCATGAGCCACCAGGCCTGGCTAATTTTTGTATTTTTAGTAGAGACGGGGTTTCACCATGTTGGCCAGGCTGGTCTCGAACTCCTGACTTCAAGTAATCCACTCGCCTTGGCCCTCCAAAGTGCTGGGATTACAGGTGTGAGCCACTGTGCCCGCCCCAGGCTAGGTAATTTATAAAGGAAAGAGGTTTAATTGACTCTTTCCACATGGCTGGGGAGGCCTCAGGAAACTTACAATCATGGTGGAAGGCGAAGGGAAAGCAGGCACCTCATTCACAGGGCAGCAGGGGACAGAAGTGCAAAGTGAAGGGAGAAGAACCCCTTATAAAACCATCGGATATCGTGAAAACTCACTCAGTATTATGAGAACAGCATGGGGGAACCACCCCCATAATCCAGTTACCTCCCATGAGATTCCTGCCCCACCACGTGGGGATTACAGTTCAGATTACAATTCAAGATGAGATTTGGGTGGAGACACAGAACCAGACCATATCAGTAACATGTGAAAGTCTCTTTGTAACTAAATAAGACAAAATATTTGCAAATGACATGGGAAGGCAACTTACAGAAGAGAAACTTCAAATTGCCAATACAAATGTGAAAAATGTTCAATTTCAAAGGATCCAAATTAGACTAAGATAAAATTTTCAGCTTTTAGACTGGAAAAGCATATAAAAAGATCATCAAAAATACTTATAAAAGATTGTAAGTCCCAGTAAGTGTTCAGGGAATGAACATTCTTATGTGTTCTGGTGTGACAGCAAATTCTGAAAATGTCCTCGTGGCAAAGTGGGCAACATGAATTCACTAAACAAATATTTCCTGAGCTCCTCTGTACCTCAGGCATGTGGTAACAACGTACAATGTCTTGTTCTCATTTCCCTTCCAGTGTAGTACAGTAGATAGACATTAAAGAAGAAAGTATACAAACAAGTTCATAATTGCTACAGTTGTAGAAAGTACTTATAAATGTGTTTAACAAGCGGTCCTAACCTGGTCAGGATTATTGGAAAGACTACCCTAAGGAGGTGATTCTTAAGCCAAGTCTAGCACAATGAAAAAAAATTGGGGGAGGAGAATAGTGAGGGAAACTGGACAGAGGAAGTGGCAGTGTGAAAGCTCTGATGAGCTCTGGGACGGTTCAGTTCCCTACTCGGCCACATCTGTCATTCCTGGAGTCCTTGGCCCTGGCTGATGATTCCACTACTGATTCCAAAGCTGCTATGATATATTAGCTACAATACCCAGTTTTCAACCAAAAATTACTAGACAAAGAAACAGGAAAATGTGTTTCATAAAGGAAGCTAACAGGTGTAATCTCTGAGCCCAGAATTTAGATTTAGCAGGTACAGACTTCAAAGTATCTGTTATAAATATGTTTGAAGAATTAACAAAAAAATAGGTTCATAGGAAAATATGTTCAAGGAACTATAGGAAAATACGATGTCAATGAGTGAACAGAGAATTTGCACGGACAAATGGAAACATTAATGAGAATTCTAGAGCTGAAATGAGTAATAATGCAATTTAAAAAATTTACTAGATGGACCCCAGTTCTGGAAATGGCAGGAAAACAAAGGATCAGAAACCCTGAAGACGAATCAGCAGAAAATATTTAACTCAAAGAAAAGGGGGAAATAGAATTGGAGTCAAAAGGTCGGGTGCACTGGCTCACGCCTGTAATTCCAGCACTTTGGGAGGCCAAGGCAGGTGCGTCACCTGAGGTCAGGAGTTCGAGACCAGCCTGGCCAATATGGTGAAACCCTGTCTCTATAAACATATAAAAATGAGCCAGGTGTGGTGGTAGGCACCTGTTATCCCAGCTACTTGGAAGGCTGAGGCAGGAGAATTGCTTGAACCTGGGAGATGGAGGTTACAGTGAGCCGAGATTGTGCCATTGTGCTTCAGCCTGGGTGACAGAGCAAGACTATCTCAAAAAAAAAAAAAAAAAAAAAAGAAGAGAACTTCAGTGTTCTCTTGGACAGTACCAACCAAGCAGCACAAATACGTGTAATTGGAGTCCCAGAAGGAGAGGAGAGAGACAAAGGGGCAAAACAAATTTGAGGAAATATGGTTGAAAACTTCTCAGTATTAATGGAAAGCATTAACTTGGAGATCCAAAAAGCTCAACAAACCCCAGGCAGAGTAAAATAATTCCTAGGCAAATCACAGTCAAATTTCTAAAAGTCAAGGCCTAAGAAAAAATTTTGAAAGGTTTGGGAGAAAAAAAATGACTTGTTCAATAAGGGGAATTATGACAGAACAGCAAGTAGCTTCTTAAAAAAGAGGGAGTGCAAATCCAGAGGCTGCCTCTTTTATGCAATCAGAGGCCCAAGACTATATATTAGTGAGAAGGAAAGATAATTAATACTTAGTGATATATTAAATAGGAATTCCCTAGAACTGAAGGAAGAGGTGAGTCCTCAGATTGGAAGTGCTCAGTGAATGCCAACTAGGACAAAAGAAAGAATGAAAATTAAAATCTCAACATTCTACTAGAAGGTAAGTCATCATGGACTTTCAGAATATCTAGGAAAGAGAGAAAAAAGTATCTAAAGCTACTAGTAAAAAAAATTCCATAAATCTACTAATAAGTAAAAGCTACTGCTTCTAGAGAAAATTCATCAGATTCACATCAGAGCCTGATCAGTCATAAGCAGTATTCCTATTTACCAGCAATTGCAAGTTAGAAGATGTAACAAAACTGAAATCTCCCATTTATGGTAATGCTAAAATATACAAGAAACTTGACACTGAACCTCTCAGGAATATACTTTTTTAAAAGAGAGAGAGAGATGGGATTTCTGTGACAAGCCAATTCTGTAATTCATAGGGGAATGAAAATGTCCAAGAATAGCCGAGACTATTTGGAAGCAGAAGAAGAACAAGATGGTGAGAACTTGCCCTACCAAATTATAAGATGTATACAGGAATTAGGCCAGGCATGGTGGCTGACGCCTATAATCCCAGCACTTTGGGAGCCTGAGGCAGGCGGATCACCTGAGGTCAGAGTTCCAGACCAGCCTGGTCAACATGGTGAAACCCCGTATGTACTAAAAATACAAAAATTAGCTCGGCATGGTGGCACACACCTGTAATTTCAGCTACTCAGGAGGCTGAGGCAGGAGAATCACTAGAACCTGGGAGGTGGAGGTTGCAGTGAGCTGAGATCACACCATTGCACTCTAGCCTGGGTGACTCCATCTCAAGAAAGAAAGAAAGAAGAAAGAAAAGAAAGAAAGAGAAAGAAAGAAAGAGAAGGAAGGAAGGAAGGAAGGAAGGAAGGAAGGAAGGAAGGAAGGAAGGAAAGAAGGGACAGAAAGAAAAAGAAAGAAAAGCAATACTTTAAGTCAACTTGTGAAAAATTGAGTGTGTTTCTATATGGGTTGCAAATGAGATACAAACAGCACAAATCACAGATGAAACCACTGATCAATAATAACATCACTTCATGACAACAGCCAACAAAGTGAAAAGATGTGACATAGAGGAAAAAAGTGTCATAGACTTGGAAGTGGGTTTATGGGAGTGTGGGTGTCCTTTCAGTAGTGTGCTGAGTGGCATCTGTCTAGTGGCCCCACTGGGAATGATCTGATTCTATGGGGTCCTTCTTCAACTGCTACGCTACGGACTAAGCTGTTTTTTTTTTCTTGAGACAGAGTCTTGCTCTGTCACCAGGAGCCAGGCTGGAATGCAGTGGCAAGACCTCGGCTCACTGCAACCTCCGCCTCCCAGGTTCAAGCAATTCTTCTGCCTCAGCCTCCCAAGTAGCTGGGACTACAGGCGCGTGCCACCATGCCTAGCTAATTTTTGTATTTTTTTTCAGTAGAGACAGGGTTTCACCATGTTGGCCAGGATGGTCTCGATCTCTTGACCTCATGATCCGCCCGCCTCAGCCTCCCAAAGTGCTGGGATTACAGGCGTGAGCCGTGGCGCCTGGCCACTAAGCTATTTTACAGCTCTCAGGGGAGAAGTTAAGTTATAGAAAACCAATTATAAGGCCAATGATCCTGCCCATAGAATGCAAATGAATTTTGCTCCATAGAGAGTGAATTGAATTCTGTCCCATAGAAAAGATAATCCCAAGCTGTACTGCCCTATACGATAGTAAGCAGTTTGCACCAATAAGCAAACGTGTTCCAGCTTTCCTTGCTGCCTACGTGTCTGTCTTTCCAGTTCTCCTTTGAACTGGTTTTAACATCTTACTGGTTTCCTTACTAATGAATTAAATAAAATCTTAGGTGTGTTCAATTTTTATTTGCATGAGAATCATGATTTTGCCTCTAAACATTAATTTTTATCTAAGAGAATTTGAATTGATAATATATGTAAGTACAAAAGCAGCTCCTGGCCGGGTAGGGTGGCTCACGCCTGTAATCCCAGCACTTTGGGAGCCTGAGGCAGGTAGATCACGAGGTCAGGAGTTTGAGACCAGCCTGACCAAGATGGTGAGATCCTCTCTCTACTAAAAATACAAAAATGAGCCAGGTGTGCTGGCAGGTGTCTGTAATTCCAGCTACTCAGGAGGCTGAGGCAGGAGAATTGCTTGAACCTGAGAGGCGGAGGTTGCGGTGAGCCGAGATCACGACACTAGACTCTAGCCTGAGCAACAGAGCGAGACTCCAACTCCAAGGAAAAAAAAAAGGCAAAAAACAAAAGGAGCTCCTATACACTAACAAAAAAGACAAAAATCCAATTAAACACCAGTGTAGTTTTTACACAGAGAAGAAATAACCTCATTAGTAATCAGAGGAAGTAAAATTAAAACAACAGCTTCTCATTTTTCACTCACAGCAGGTTTCAGCTGCTCTGAAGCTGTGGCCATTGTCAGGGTAGGGCCTGGGAACTGAGGAGGGGCTGGCCTGGGCACACTTATCTGTGAGGTCTGAATATCTTTAAAAGGAAAGATCCTCGGGGCTCCTGGGGGTGGGGTGTAGGGCCTTAGGGCACGTTGGCAGTGGCCCAGGTGAGAGGGCTCAGATCTGGGTATGTGCTATTGTAGCAGAGAAACTGCATGGGGGAGTGCGGATGGCTTAGGGCATCTGGGGTTCTGGCAGTGACATCCCTGGAGGCTGACATCTGCCTCTGCCCTGAGGCCTGCAGGAGTCCAGTCTCTCTCATGCCAACCCGAGAGACAGAGGTCAGAAGTCATGAGGCAGCCTCTGTCCAGGAGTGGCCGGTGCTGTGGCTCAGCTCCCCTGGGCTGGGACATTAGGGGAGGTGTTCTTGATCCCAGCAGGGTGACCCCATGGAGATGTGGGGCTGCTGCAGGAGGCCGGGGGTGGAGGTCCTGCAGCCGGGTGGACGTAGGCTAGCCAGAGCCAGCCCAGGCGCATGCCTGGTGCCAGTCTCGTAGTCCAGGCCTGGTGCTGCTGGCCCCATCCTCTCCACCCAGCCCTCCTCTCTGGGCAGCTGGCCTCAGAAATACTGGAGAGGACCCCCCCCCAACCCGCACGGTCCGCCTGTAATCCAGCACTTTGGGAGGGTGAGTCGGGTGGATCACTTGAGGTCAGGAGTTTGAGACTAGGCTGACCAACATGCTGAAACCGGGTCTCCACTAAAAATACAAAGTTGGCTGGGCGTGGTGGCTCGTGCGCGCTATCCCAGCTACTTGGGAGGCTGAGGCAACGGAATCGCTTGAACCCGGGAGGCGAAGGGTGCCGTGAGCCGAGATCAGGCCACTGCAAGCCAGCCTGGGCGACAAGAGTGAAACATCGTCAAAAAAAAAAAAAAAAAAAAAAAAAAGAAAAGAAAGAAAAAGGAAAGAAGAAAGAAATATCGGAGGGGACGTGGGGTCCAGGCTGGTCAGGGCTGAAGGCGTAAACATGTGAGAGTCTGGAGCCGGGTGAGGTCACGAGAAGAGAGGCGGGACAGGAACAGCGCCGTGGGTGCCACGCGAGACACGGGGTGGGCGGGCCGCCTGGCCCGGAGCTGGCTGCCGCCATGTCAGTGGAGGGTGGCGACAACCCGTGCCCGGAGGGGGCCGAGGCCTGTGCCGGGGGCCGGGGGGTGGAGGCCCCCGGGAAGGCCTGGCGTGGGACGGCGGGCGGGTGGAGGGGGCGTGGCGCCCAGGGCGGGGTTCCCCGCGCAGCCCGAGCCGGAGCGCCGCAGGGAAGGGAGCGGCGGAAGATGCGGAGACAGAGGGAGGTTCCCAAGAAGGCCGAGGGAACGGGCAGGCCCGGAGGAGCAGGCGGGAACGCGGAGGGGGGCCGGGGCCGCAGCACGGAGGGTTTGGGGGCGCAAAGGTGAAGCATGCCCCCCGGGAAGCCAGGGGGCACCGCAGCGACTTGCCCGGGTTCCGGGCCCGCCTTGCACGCGCCCCACCCCGCACCTGGACGGCGACGATCCGCGGGGCCCGCTGGCGCCTGGGAGGGCGTCCTGGGGGAGGTCCGAGTTCCCGGAAAGTGCAAGCTCCAGCCCAGAGCGGCGCTGAGCAGGGCCGGGCCGGGCTCCCGGGGCGCCCGGGCGGCTGCAGGTCGCGGCGGGGCCGCTGGGGACGCGGAGGGCGCTGACTCCGGCGCCGACGCACCGCGGGCTGCGCTTCGGGGGCTCTGGGGCCGCGGCCGCTCGGGTCTGCCCCCCAGCGACCTTTCCTGGGAGCGTTCGCAGCGGCTCTCCTCCTTCCCGGGCGGGGGGCTTCTGCCCTCCGCCCAGACTTCAAAGCCATTTTCTGCACTGGCCCGTGGCCTCGGAGCGCGGCGTTCCGCCCTCATGGGGCTGGCAGGGGCGGTTTCTAGAGAGGCCTCCACGCTTGGACCGGGACGAAAAGCCTTCACCGTCTTCAATGCAAGCAACAAAGCTGTACACGGACCCCCAGTGCCATTGCCTCATTCATGTGTTCATGTGTCCCTCATGCACTCATTCATTCCTTCATTCATTCAGCCCACGTGTTCACCCAGGGCCCCGCGCAGGGCCGGGGACGCTGCCATGGAGGAGACGGAAGCACCCCTGGCCTGGAGGGAGCCCCTGTAAATTTCACTGCCAGCGGCCGGAGGCTGGTGAAAGGCTGTGGAGCCTGAGGCCTGGGAAGGCCTCGTGGGTGATGAGGGCAGAGGTGGGTGGAGCGCGGTGGTGGCTAGGAAGCCCCAAGAGAAGGCCCCAAGGCGTGGTGGGTTGGAGCAGATGAGGGCAAGGGGGTGGGGATGGGCACAGACCTCCAGAAGGAGGCCGAGTGTGGGGTGCAGGACACCCGGGGCCGTGGACAAGCGGGAGTCCCTGAGGCAGTGCCCACCTGTGGGGTTCCCGCCTTCTGCCCCGCCTCTCGGAATTCCCTCCTGGGCACACATCCCTCACCTGTGGCCCCTTCAGGGTTGGCTCGAAGGTCCTGCCTTCCCTGGGTCAGCCCCATCCGATCCGGAGCACAAGGCCTGGCCCATTCTGCTTAACTCAGGCCAGCTCTGTCCCTTCGAGCTGCAGAGCACGCACAGGGTCCAATTGCTGCCCCTGCCCACCCCTGTGTCCTTCCCCTCCGTCCCCCGCGTTGACTAGGGCAGCGCTAATTGACTTCCTTCCTGCTGGCTGGAGCGTCTGGGGGCCCACGTGGCTGCCAGCTCAGCAGAGCGTGCTGCTGCCCCTGGGCTGTGGGGCTGAGACCCCACGGATTCTCCCGCAGGCAGGCGAGTAGTCCAGCCTCAAGTGGGGAAGGGGCAGGGGGAAGGGTGCTGGGAACGCTGCCGCCTGGGAGCCCATGGAGACACAGACAAGGGGGCTTCTGCAGGCCCCGGGGGCTGCTCTGTAGACAGCACCCCTTGCCCTGGGCCCCTTCTCTATCTCCTTTCTCCTTAAAATCACAGCCTCTCCCCTGCAGGCCAGCCCAGTCCCTCAGCTCTGGGTCCTTGTACCCTCAGTGCCCCTCGGCTCCTCGGCTTCCCACGCTGCAGAGTCACAGTGATTGGGATGACAGGGTCCCGTCTTCTCTGCCTCTGAGTTCCAGGACGGCAGACGCCATTGTGACCCATGTACTGGCAGAGGCCTCTCCCTGAGCTCCTGTCCCACTCTGGGTCTCCCCAGAAGACAGCCTAGAGCAAAGATTCATGTCAGCGCCACAGCACTCACGTGGGGGGCCCGGGGAGGGAGGGCCTCGGCCAGTCCAGTGCACTCTGCTAGCGGAGCCAGCCACTGCCTGGGCCTGGGCTCTGTCTCAGGAGCCAGAGCCAGGAGGGCAGCCCTCTGAGTTGCCCCTGTAGAGGGCTTTTGTCCCCAGCCCCTTCCCTCCCAGGGAGGACCGCCTCCCGCACTGCACTCTGGCATTCTGGGTTTGCCTGGCTTGGGGCCAAAGACAGCATCTGTCCACAGTAGCAGTAAAAATATCCTTCACACGTGGGCACAGGACTGGCCACTCTTTAGGGGAGCCCCTCGGGAGGGTGGGAGGCCCATGGGGTATGTGGCTACTGAGCTCCAGTCACTGCGGCTGGATAGAGAAACCCTCTTCCTTTATCTACTGAGCTTGTGCTGTCTTCGTTCTCCTGAATGGCTGGGCAAGGGAGCTGTGTGCCTAGAGGGCAGAACTGGGGTAGTGCCTGCCCCTGCCCTCCCAGCCCCTCCCCTCCACTCCCTGTCCCCCGCTCCCCCACCCCCACCAGCCCTAGCTTGTTCCCCAGAGACCCAAGGGACAGGCTGTGGGGCCTGGCAGCTCAGCCCCGACGGGCCTAGTCTAAACCGATGTTCCGCCAGGGAGGCCCATTTGGCCGCCGGGTTGCCTGAACAGCCCAGCCTTTGTCCGGGGCAGTCACAGGCGCTGTTTGCTCAGTGCCTGGCTTGTTTTTCCCAGGCCAGTGAGGCAGGCAGAGGCACCGGAGCCATGGAAACAGCACAGACCACCTGTCCTGCCCCAGCTCCGCTCCCGCCCGGTTGCTTTCTCTGCCCCTGTGGACCTCCTGGTGCGCTGGCCCTGCCCCAGCTGAGCCCTGGGCAGAGCAGGACAGTGCCTTGCCCCCGCCCACCCTGGGACTTTAGCTGGGCCGGGCACAGAGAGAGCCAAGGGGTTTCTGGAGCTCTGGAGTCCCTCCAACTGCTCTCAGCACTCACCAGACGCAAGCTCTGTGGACCATGGGGACTGAGGACTCCTTCCTCTGCCTCCCCCTTCCTTCCTCTCTCCTGGGGAGGGGCCAAAGGCAAGGCCAGCTCAGGGAAATACTCTCTGATCAGAGTTGCCCCAACAGGAAATAGGCTATCTTTAAAGGTGGTGAGTTCCCCGTCATGTGAGGCATGCAAGGGGAGACTCTTGGGGCTGCAATAAGGGAATCCTTATTGTATGGGAGGGGAAATAAATGGATCAAGTGAGTATAAAAAGAGCTCTTTCTTTCATTCATTCATTCACTCCATTTATTGATTGACTCATTGATCCATTCAGAAAACACCAGTGGCATCCATCCTTCAGCCTAGGCTGGGTGCCGGGTTCGGAACATTCAGCAGTGAGACTGCAGTCATGACCTCTGCTTTCACGGCAGGCAGAGTCATGTGGGTAAGAGGGCGTGGGGGAGACACATGTGAGAATGAACAAGGCCTCTGGGAAGCGGGGTAGGAGCTGAGAGGGGTCAGAGAGATTATGAGTTTTGTGCCCTATTCCATGGGTAGGGAAACTGAGGCACAGAGGGATAGTCATGACACAGAGAACCTGGATCACTCTCCAGAGCTTCTGGGTCCACAGTCATCCCAGCTGCAAAGACCCTGCGATCCTGAGGAGGGAGGCTCCTCCCAGGTGTGGGGAGTGGCTTGGGAGTGCTCCAGCAACTTCATGTCCCAAGCACTGCTTATGGGCCAGCCTGGGCTGGGGAATGCAGAGAGCAGTGGGGAGAACCTGATCTTGGGACTGACTTCCAGGTTGGGACAACCTTGCTTCGAGGGGCTGTGTGGCTGGCTTTAAGTACCAGGAAGTTCTGATTTCTTCTCACCCGTTATAGTTAATTAGTGCTGCCTAACAGCCCCAAAACAATGACTAAAACTGCAGCCACTTTATTATGCTCAGGAAGTCTGTTCTGAAAGGGCACAGTAGGGACAGCTCCACTCTGCTGTGTGGGTTCTGTGCCCCACCAGAGACAACTCAGATGGCTGGGGGCCAGTTCACCTGCGGCTGATGGATCCACTTCCAAGATGGATTCTGCATTCGCATGGCTGGTGTCTGGGCTGGGCTGGCTAGAAGGCTGGAACTGTCAACCAGCATACCCCCATGTGACTCCTCATGGAGTTTGGACTTCCTCACAGCATGGAGGTCTCAGGTTGTTGAACTTCCTTCTTAGATGGCAACTTGGGACTCCAAGATATAAGCCATAGGGCCTTTTATGAGTGAACCTTGAAAGTTACCCGGCAGCACTTCTGCTGAATTCTCTTGGTTGAAGTAGTCACAAGCCCACCTGGATTCAAGAGGAGAGGCCACAGGGCCCACCCTTCAACGAGAGAAGGACCAAGGACTTTGCAGCCATATTTAACACTGCCACACTGGCCTCCAATTTCCTCCTTTCTCCTCTGAAAAATCTACCATTTGCCAAGGTTGGGCTTAAGTTCCAAGCCAGAAAAACTTCCTGCTAACTCCTATCCCCAGTGATACTTCCTGCCCACCGCTGCGTTCTTGGTTATGGTTGCTCTAATAAGTAACAGGGACAGCCATGAGTGCCAATTCACACTTGTATGCTACTTGGTTCTTAGAGCAATCCTGTGAGGCATTTTAGGTGGGAGAGTGGGCATCTCACATGGAGTTTTGCAGGGTGAGTAGGAGTCTTCCAGACAGACACAGTTTAGGAAAAGGTATGATGAGCTTGGGCACACGTGCAGTTGGGTGGGGCTGGAGGACAGTGTCACTGACTTGAGGGAAGAGGTTTCTTAGTGGAGAAGCGCACCACACAGTCCTCTGTTTTAGGAAGACTCCTTTGGCCCAGACCGTGTGAAGACCGGAAGCTGGCCTAGGGGAGCTGGCCTAGGGGAGCTGGCGCTGGGGCTCACTCATGGATCCCCACAAGTGCCTGTCTGCCTGTGTCTCCTACGTGGTTTTGCGAGTCCTTTCAACCATTCTCTGGGGTGGGCATTGTCAACCCATTTTACATGATAAAACCAGGCCGGGTGAGGTGGCTCACGCCTGTAATCCCAGCACTTGGGAGGCTGAGGCAGGTGGATCGCTTGAGCCGAGGCGTTTGAGACCAGCCTGGGCAACGTAGCAGACCCCGTCTCTACAAAAACAAACAAACGGACAAACGCAAGTTAGCCAGGCATGGTGGTGTGCACCTGTGGTCCCAGCTACTCAGAAGGCTGAGGGGGGAGGATTGCTTGAGCCCAGGAGGTAGAGGTTGCAGTGAGCCATGATTGCACCACAGCACTCCAGCCTGGGTGACAGAGCAAGACCCTGTCTACAGAACACACACACACACGCACACACACACACACCCCAGATGAGAAAGCGGAGGCACCAAGAGGTGTTTCTGGAATCCAAACTGGGCAGGAAGGCTAGGAGCGCAGCAGGGAGCAGCCCTTGTCTCCTCCACAGGTAGGAAGCTCCTCCTCCCTCCCCAGAGCCTCCGCTGCCCCTGCAGCCCCACCCCTCTCAGCCCTGACCCTGTGGTCCAGAAAGGTCCCTGCAAGCCGGCTGCGGGTGGCTTATTCCAACGGGCAGCAGGGAGTGTAGTCACCTGCTCATTCATGTCCGGTGCTCTTTGTGGCTGTAGAAGGCAGAGGACAGGTGTTGGGGTGACGAGGGCTGGCCTGGGGGAAACTGAGGCCTGGGACTGCAGAGTCAGGGCTTGGTCTCTGCCTTCGAGCTTGCTTGCACCTGGCTTCCCCTCATGCCTGGCCATTTGGTTCCGGCTCTTGAAATAGATCCTCTGCCCACCTGGTAACTGGCCGGCCACGGGCCGTGCCACGCCACCTGCCCACTGCAGCCCGGCCCAGTCACCCCGAAACGCTGACAAAAGCCAGCTGCTCTCCCAGCAGTCAGTCGGCAGGCAGACACCCGGAGGCGTGACGCCTGCCCTTGTCTGGCACCGAGGCTGCCAGGAGGACGCTGACGCAGCTCTCCCCTCTCCCGCTCCCAGGGCGCTGCAGCGCCTTTCTGGAATGGCTTCCCGATGAGGTAATGCAGCTCAGAGCGCGGGAGGAGGCCGCTGGGAAGCGCGGCTGGCCAGGCCCCAGCTCCCCGGGAAGATGGCTGCCACGGCCGCCCTGCCCTGCCGGCCTGAGGCCACCGCACAGGGGCCAGGCGGGCTGAGAGCCGGAGCCCGACGCCAGGCCGGACGCTCGGCGGCCTCACTGCGGCATGGCCGGGGAGCCAGTCACTCCCTCATCGCCCCGCCGAGCCGGCGCAGGCCTCAGCCCTGCTCCGTGGGGGCCCCTGCCCTGCGAACACGCCACCCCCACGCACACGGGGGAAACAGAGGCCGCACCGCGCCGGCTCCGGGAGCAGCGGCATGAGCTTGCTCGGACCTGCCAAGCGGCT